TTTCGATAGCGAGCGATATGCATAATAGCGTGCATATCGTCCTAGCGTTCGGCTGAACGCGGCGCGGGCGTTTCGTCGATGAGGGCGACCGTTATTGTTTACCCGGACGACGCGACTCGTCACGGCGGCTTTCGCGGGCGAGGACGGAAATGCGAGTCCCGAAAAATGCCATCGACCGCTCCCGCCTCGAGGAACGATTATATCGAGCTGCAATCGATTGCGATCTCGTCGCCACGTCGGTATTCTCGTCGGGGGCTACTCGATGCGCCGCCTTCTAATCGCCGCTAATCTATCGATCTTCGATGAGAGAGCGATGAAGAAACGCTCTTTTTTCGACGCGACCGTTCGAGTGACCGTCGCCGGTTTTCAGTCCGCGCTCTCAACGTACACTGGAAAGCAAAACGGTTTTTTCTTTTTTTTTTACGAACGTTAATTCTTTGCAATACCGTCTCTCAGATACGGTAAACGTAAATCGTGGACGTTATTCGCTCAGAAATAACGTCGCAATGTATGCGACCAATAGTATTCAATAAGATTCACGATTTACCGTATCTGAGACACGGTATTGCAAAAACTCCCCAGTAACTAGCCTGGTTAAAATTTGAGAATCACTTGCGCAAGAGAGAGAGAGAGAGAGACTCACGATCTTTTAGATAAAACTTTAGAATAGGACCTTTCCCGAATTTTGATAGATTTTTGCTACTTGCTGGATAAAAATCTTTGTTGTGACTACGACAATGATGATCAATGGGGGAAGCCGGAAAAAAACCATAACCGACTTATTTTTTTTCAAGTTTTTTCGGATCTTATAAAACTCTGAAGGAAAAATGCGCTAAATTTAAACTATTGAGTAAAAGTATAAAAAACTCAATGAACCTTAATAAACCAAAGACATAAACTATTCTTCGCTATAATTTAGAGTTTGTAATATAAATTTGTGCTTTTGATTAAAGCAGAGCATGATTGTGAATAATGCTCTGCTTTATTTTGCTTGTAATTTATGATCCGTTCTACCTTGTGTAGAGGTCTTGCTAATCTTTTCAGTATTCATTTTTAGTATATCGTAGACTCATCTGTTGTAGTAAGGCGAAAGATTCGAGTAACAACTGCGAACGGTATTTAATCAGTATAAAATCGATATTTAAAATTTTTAATATATGGAATAAAATTTTCCTGCTTTTTCCTATAAAGATCTTAGCCCCCCCTCCCCCTCCCTTAATATACATGTAAAACTTTGTATACGTGTTTCTTTACAGCCAGTTTTGTAAATCACTGAACAAGAAAACGTAGTTTTCGGTATAATAGTACTTCTGAATATTTACCAAAAAAATTGTTCAAAAAATAAGTGGGTAACATTTTTTTCGGGCTCCCCCGATTGATCATCACTGTCGGAGTCACAACAAAGATTTTTACCATGAGAGTGGCAAATAAATATAAAAATTCGGAAAAGGCCCTGTTCTCTAAACCTTTTACCATCTTTTACTTTGCGCAGTTTGGTTAAGCAGTGATTCTCAAATTCGCAACTACACGGATCATCAGTGTCACTAGAAATAGAAACCATGTCGAAATCGTTTTGCTCTCCCAGTGTACAACGACCGGATAGGAGGAATGAATTTGGCCTCCCTTCATGGCGTCTCGAGGCCGCCGCGATTCCGCGCGTCGCCTAATTACGCCACTTATCGCCATTTAATCGCGGAGATCGCTTCGCGCGATTCGTTTCTCCGCGTCCGCGAGAAGCCCCAGGTGGAAAAATGCAATCGTTCGAATCGAAGTCGCTGCGCAGTCGGATAACGATCTGCTCCCGATTGGATCTCGCGGAGCTGTGTTGCAGTGAGAGATAGAGAAGAAGGGAGAGGGAGGACGAGAGAAAAGAGAGACTTTGTGGCGGCGTGATTTTTCCGTTCTCGTTCGCAACGTCAAGGTCAACACGCTCCATTGATACCTTTACGAGGGGAAGGAAATCGGCGACACTCTCGTCGCCGCTGCTTTGTCGGAGGCTTCCGAAAATTGCGCGTGCCGCGGGAAACGCTCGATTCTCTGCGCGCGGCGGGAACGCGGTTTACGTAAGCTCTCTAGCGCGCTGTGACTGGTTATGAAATAGCGGTCAGTCGTCGCCGCGCTGTTACGCAAACGCGATTGACAACTGGTGACGCCGACGCTGCTGGATGTGTTTACGGGACTCATTGAAGGGGTATTTGCACACCGTCGCCGCGTTAAACACCGCTAATTGCGCGCGCGCGCGCGCGAGTTTTCATTCGGGGCAGGGGAGTGGGGGTGGGGAGAAGGTACGTCCTTCGGTTGTACCGCGGAATTTTGCCGGAGAGTAGAATCCTGTGCGTGGTATTACCTCAGTTCGCAAATTCCGCTGTATTCTCTTCCCCGACCGAACGGCGATGCCTCGGTTCGCTCGCGAAATTATGCTCGCGTTCAATCCCGTGCAGCTCTCTCTCTCCTCGCCGCGTGTCCGCCAGGAAGAACGTTGATGCGCGTCGCGGGGAGGATCCTCGACGTGGATCCTCAACACGTGGCGTTCGCACGCGCCATTTCGCGATGTTTCGCGCAGAGAGAGAGAGAGAGAGAGAGAGAGAGAGACACCTCGTCGCTCGGTGAAAAATACACGTCCACCTACGATTCTCCGGCTCTCTCTCTCTCTCTCTCTCTCTCTCGTGGTTTTGCCGACTTGCTCACTCGATCGGACGTGCCCGGCGGCCTGCTTCTGTTCTTGCGAATCTAATTTCACCGAACAACACGTGTCGGAACACGTGTCGACGGGCAGACGGGATCGGCCGGTCGGCTCGTTCGCGCGCGCATAGCAGCGGGCGATAACTAGATACGAGCGTTTGCGAACGCGGCAATTTCTCTTGGAACAAATTCAGAATTTCACATTCCTGGCGCATAGTTATGCAAAAGCGCCGCCGCAGCTTCTCTCTTTCTCTCCTTCCCTCGCGATATCTCGTGTATCAGCGTGGCGATCGGAACGGCGCGTAGATCTTATGACGCATCGATTCGCGTCGACGCGATACATCTTCCTGCCGGCGAGCGCCAGGGCGACGGGGGGAAGAGAGAGAGAGGGGGAGAGAGAGAGAGAGAGAGAGAGAGAGAGATAAAACATCTCGCGCTTTCGACGCGACTCTCCTTGGGCCGCGATGTGTAACGCGAAACGGTCAGGTAATCATTCTCCTATGGCAGTTCTCGCGGGAGCCTCTCCTCTCGCGGTTGCAACGCGAGGGCTGAAATTGTCGTCATTAGGCGTTTCATCATCGACAGAAGCTGGACAAGCGAATCGAGCGGAATGCAGGCGCGAGTTTGTCCGATGACGACTGAGGGGAGAGCCGCTCGCGCAAGTAGCTCTCCACCTTAAGGGGACTGGAGAGTCAGATTGCTGAAAAATCGGGCTTGTTTTTGATATTGATTTTGTGACGAACTGAATAAATGTGCAAGAATGAAAATTTTGGGTATATTTACACGACATATGAAGAGTAGAAAAATTTTGTTTATTAACAAATACTCATATAAATATACGATATGTATAGCTGAAAATACTCTCCTTTTTCTGTCAAGTTGTCGTTTTTGCAGTAATATATCGGCTCTCGATGGTCCAATCAGAGCGAATTTTAGCTAGTAATCTTGAGGAGGCTTATCCGCATTATCCGGTGAACCACTACAAAAAAAGGTCGAGCAAAATTAACAAAATGGCAGCTATTATTGGGAAAAAATCCAAAATTTTCAGTTCTTTCACAATAAAAAAATGAATATCTCGAAATGAAATATTTTGACGTAATTGTCCGTGGTTCATCTGAGAGCCGGATGAAGCAAATATTATTGCTTTAAAATTTCAAATTGATACGAAGCTCAGTTTCGGAGAAATCATTGCAAAAAGCATTGAACAACAAAATTTCGAGGAAAACGCGTTTAAAATTTAAATGGACGTATATTTATATGGGTATCTGTTAATGAACAAAATTTTTCCATTCTTCACATGTTATAAGTAAATGTATCTAAAATTTTCATTCTTGCACATTTGTTCAGTTCGTCACGAAATATTATCAAAGATATTATCAAAAATATTATCAAAAATAAGCACGATTTTTCAGCAATCTGACCCTCCAGCCCCCTTAATTAGCGTCTTACACACTCTCGGCTGAAGCGCGATTCACACATTTCGCGATCGCGCCGGCTCTGCGCATTGAAGAATCTCACTCGACCCGCCGAGCGTCCACGTGTGCGAATTTATCATCGCGAGGGGAGAGATACCTACCTCCTCGACAGCCGTGTCTAGGAGTCGCGCGAGCCATAAGTTACTTCGATCGCGACTACCGATGTGTGTGTGTGTGTGTGTGTGTGTGTGTGTATGGAGGCACGAGTCGAAAGGAGCGAGCGAAGAGTCGCGCACGCGAATTGCGAACGACGAATTGGCGTCGCCGGGGTTTCACCTTCGAAAATGAAGTACCGGGCGAGAAATTCCAGACATGTCTGGCGAGCGAATTAGCCTCCGTCGGAATTTCACTGCGGGGCCACGGCGGGGCTTCTGGCTTTCCTGCGCGCCAAGTATGGTATCACACCGCCGCGCCGCCGTGTGTGACCCGGTAGCCGGATACGCCGCGATACGTGCAAGCATCGGCCTCTCGTTGCTGCCTGTCATTAAGCTATTAGACGGCCTGCGCTCGTCTCGGCGACGATCCTTACCGCTAACTAACGCGATCCGCAACGGAGAGAGAGAGAGAGAGAGAGAGAGAGAGAGAGAGAGAGAGAGAGAGAGAGAGAGAGAAAGAGAGGGAGGGGGGATGAGACGGCGAAACGAGTCTACACGCGTGCATGCACCACCAGGTCGCCGCATAAATCGAACGACCTTCGCGAGTGCGCGAGGAGAGGAGCCCGGAGACCAATTAAGATTTTCGTGGTGCGCCCTTGCTCCCCGGCGGGCGGATTATTACCTGACACATAACTCAAGTCCCCTTTTCAGCGATGCGCCGGTAATAATACCGAGAACTCCGTTTCAGTTATAATCAGCACGGCACACACCACCACGTCCTGGTTACCATGCCGTACTACAACAGTGGCCACAGCCCGGCTTACAACAAAGGTGAGTTACCTTGCGTTACCTTGGCGCGCGGGATTCCAGCTAATTGCGGCTCGAGCTAAATCACCGCTGACCGCTGACCGATGGCGCGTCCGCTTTGGATCGCAATCGCGCCTGATTTAGCAGCGTGGAAAGTGAAGCGATCAAAATTGCCTCTGCGCGCGCGCGCTTGCTTGGACACAGCGAGCTTTCCTCGGACAATGAGAGAGAAATTCTTTCGACTCCTGCGGGCTCGTAGGACCAGCGCGCGCTGCGGTCCTTCCTCTCCGGAGCTTCTCGAGCGAGACGTTCAGATTCGAGTTCGGAGCCGGGTTCCGAGGTCTGCAGTTGATTCGCGACCGCGAATCTGATGATACAATGCTATATCGTATGATTTAGCTGGAAAACTCGGGTCTGATTGCAAGTTGAAATCCGAGCGTCTCACGCGAGGGGCAAGTTTCAAAGGCAACGTCTATGATTACGAGTTTCGACGACGTTGTAATTTTCGGAACGAAGCGAGCTCGAGTGGCGGCGGGAATGTGCAGTTGAATCGCGCGACACTCGCTCGAGGATGATCTAAAAGCGCGTCGTCTCTCCTGTTCCAGACGGCGGATCCAGCGGGCCGTCCAGCACCTCTGGCGGCCGCGCCAGCAGCTCGGAGCCGACGTACATGATGGAGCATCTGGCCACGTTCACCGTCACGAAGGAAACCGGTATTGTTTATCCGGCGGACGGTATGCGCCGGCTTTTGCAGCTGGAGAAAAGCAACGGCATCTGGAGTCAGAAAATGCAGCTCCGTCTGGAGCGAAACTGGGTTCTTATCATGGACAACGAGACGGGGGTGAGTTCTCGTTTTCGCGGGCACCTTGCGAGAGAGATCGCGCGAGAGAGACGGCTCTAATTATACCCGCATGCTCTCTTATCGCGTCCTCGATCTTCGGCGTATTCGCGGCGGCGGCGGCGGCCGCGTTAACGCGACTTCCGAGGCTCCGTAATGAAGCGTTAATTAAAAGCGATATCGGACGTTTGTCGCGATCGAAGGCCGCGCGCGCGTGTGTCGTCGTTCGGCCACGTCATGCAGGAAAGTAGACCGTCCGCGAAATTCTCCTGCCCACGGCGCGCACGGTAGAGTTGTAGTTGGCGACAGTTTCACTTAACAATCGACAACTTTCAGGCCGTCATGGAGCGGTTCCCGGCTTCCTTGATACAGGAGCCGACAGCGTTCACGTCGCGGGACCCCATGGAGATGTACAACAACATCTTGGTGTTCACCGTGGCCGACGACAGCGGTTCCGGCCAGCGAGCGGAGATGCATATATTCCAATGTCAGAGCGTGTCCGCGCAGGACCTCGTCGAGGACCTGAAGATGCTGCAGATGGGCAAACTGGTGACGGGCGGCTCGCCCAGGGGCCCCAGAGGCCATATCCCACCCCCACCTGCCTTACCGCCCCCGGAGCCGCCTCTGAACGGCGTCAACGTCAGGGAACAAGTGTCCGCCTTCAACGCAGCTAATGGTGAGCGTGAGATTGTCGTAAACTGCTGAGGATCGATATCAGATTGACATCAGTCTTCCTACAACTTCGTATCAGTATAATCTTGGTTCGCGTGGTAAAAATCATGTTTGTTTGGCTCTTCGGAGAGAGGACGCTGAGATTATTTGTCTGTCGGTCCTGCACAGCGGACGGCCAGAACGACATATCGCGGGAGGAGAACAACGACGAGGTGTCGTCGACGTCGTCGGAGAAGTACGAGCGCGACGTGACGATCCTGAACCACTGCTTCGACGACATCGAGAAGTTCATCGCGCGCTTGCAGCACGCGGCCGCCGCGTCCAGGGAGCTGGAGCGCCGGCGGCGCAGCCGCAAGTCCAAGAAGAGAAACCTGGGCGACGGCATGCTGACGATGAGAGCGAAGCCACCACCCGAGATGGAATTCATCGACATCTTTCAGAAGTTCAAGCTCTCCTTCAACCTGCTGGCCAAGCTCAAGGCGCACATCCACGATCCTAACGCGCCCGAGCTCGTGCACTTTCTCTTCACGCCGCTCGCGCTTATCGTGGACGCCTCTCACGACACCAATTACGAGCCGAACCTGCCCAACAAGGTGATGTCGCCGCTCCTCACCCGCGAAGCGGTCAATCTGCTGATCAACTGCGTCACCAGCAAGGAGACCGAGCTCTGGCACTCGTTGGGCGAGACGTGGCTGGTGCCGCGCGACCAATGGAAGGGCCACATACCGCCGTACCATCCGATCTTCATGGACGGCTGGTCCCCGGAGTACCCCATCCCGGAGGACCGCGACCATGACCACTTGGCGTCTCTGTTGAACGCCGACAAGCAGAAGAGGGACGAGTTGCCAGAGCAGCAGAACGAACCCTATTATACTCATCGTTACGTGGACGAGTCGCACTACAGCAGCGACTATCTGGACTACGAGAGCCGCGAGGAGCGCAGCGGCAACGAATACTTCGACAGGAATTACGGCCCGAGCTCGGAGCTGTACGGCAGGGAGGAACGCGCGGATCAGACCAGGGCGCACAGTGACATCTCCGTGGACTCGATCGAAAGAGCGTCGCGCGCGGCCGCCGGCATGGAAAGAGCGCAAGAAGCTTGGCTGGACGAGCTGGTGGCCCGTCACGCTAAAATCGTGCAGGTCACCTATCCGCGCACCGCCAACAACGACAAGGAGCTGACGGTGGTCAGGGGCGAGTACCTGGAAGTCCTCGACGACAGCAGGAAATGGTGGAAGGCGAGGAACTCGCGGGGACAGGTCGCGCACGTGCCGCATACCATCGTTACGCCGCACAATCCCGCCCATTCCGCCGATAATGATGTCTTTAACAATCCTCTGTACACCAGCAAATATCCGCGGCAGGGGCACGGCTATAATTACGAGGTGAGAGTCGTAGAGAGGAGAGGCGAACACACCCTTGGGATACCGTGTCGATGAATAATTGCGTCACGAGGAGGAGCGTTGAATGAAGTTGCGTCCGCAGGTGTTCGCGATAGACGGCACGTGCAGCGACGGTAGCGGGCTAGCACGAGTTGAGACATGTTTGATACGCTATTGTATAATAATCGCGATTGCATAACAATCGATATAATTTATGCATACGACGTGGGGTCGCCTTGTGCGTATAATTTTGAAGTATATTTAAATTATTTAGAAATTATATATATATATATATTAAATTTTATCTAAATACATGTCTAATTTTACGGATTTAACCGTATTGGTAATAACTATATTAATATAATAATCGCTGATAATTGATCGCCTATAGTAAAATCCGTAGAATTGCCCGCAAGTTTCCGGTCTCTCTAAAGCGATCGACCTTGTTGCAGGATTCAGAGATCGAGAGAACCAGCACTAGTCCAGGCCCAGAAGCCACTCATCGAACACATGCGATCCCGCCGCCAGCGCCTGCTGATTGGGTGAGAAAGGAAAGACTCGGCAAAAAAGGTGAATTTCGCTACTTCTAAGCCATTTGTCGAGCTCGCGATTGTGAGTGTCCTGTCCGCATCCGAATCCGGACGATCTTCCCGACGTTGATCTCGGGAGCGTCGTCGTTAACGAGCAGAGTTATGAGATGTAAAACGTGCAGATTCAAACCGCATCGCGCCCCATCACGTATGTGTGTAAGCAAGCCTCGATCTTAGAGAAACAACGAATGTCTTCCAAAAAAAAGAGAAAAGAGAAGAAGAAAAATATGCTCTCTCGATTGATGTGGTATCGTCGACGTATATATATATATATATATATATATATCTCATGGAATCTCCGATAAAAGCCGGCACACGAGAGATAAGAGAATGCACATCACGTTAGCTTTGTAAACGAACTCGTAGCATAATTAGATCACCGTCCACGTCACGTTTCAGTTGGCGCATTCGTCGAAGGGTTTTGTAATATCCGACGATTTCCTCTCAAACGTGAGTGAGTGAGCGAGCGAGCGAGCGAGTGTTGTGTGTATGCGTGTGTTTGTGTGTGTGTGAGTGTGTATGCATGCGTGTGTATGTGTATGTATTTGTACGCGCGCGAGTCTGTACATACGGAGGTGTGAGCGATTAATATGTAGACTGAGCCATTCATACGATTGCAACAGGGGCGTGGTACTTTAAGCTGTTCGCATCGCACGATTATTCCAATCTGTATCGTCACACTTCAGAGCGACGCGCTGCTGAAGTCTGTCTTCCCCAACTTTCCTTTCCTCTCTTTTACGACTGTCACTCTCGCATTTCTTACGTTACGAGATCGTAAGCGTCTGTCCTCCGTTTTGCGCGATCTGAGATCGTTGCGATACAAGAAGAAGCGGGAAATCGATAAGTAAGGAAGGAAAATTCCAATGCCATCGAGTAACGAGATCGTCCGCCGTCTCTTGCCGTCACACGATCCGAACGCATTAACGAGATCATTTCTATTTTCGATGACGGGTCGTCGAGTCTCCTCCGCCGGGAGAGAGGAGAGAGACGGTGTAGCAGCGGCGACGACAGCCGACGAGAGTCGTTATCGATGAAGATAAAGTAACCGTAAATTGGAGCGTCGCGAAATGACAATCAAAGGTAGAAGCGTAGGGATATCGAAACGGGGAATTATATTTCCCAACGCGACGCGTGACGTATCACGCTCGTAAGGAGAACCAGAGAGAGAGAGAGAGAGAGAGAGAGAGAGAGAGAGAGAGAGAGAGAGAGAGAGAGAGAGAGAGAGAGAGAGAGAGAGAGAGGAGAGAGAGAGAGAGAGAGAGAGAGCGAGAGAGAGAGAGAGAGAGAGAGAGAGAGAGAGAGAGAGAGAGAGAGAGAGAGAGAGAGAGAGAGAGAGAGAGAGAGAGAGAGAGAGAGAGACGTCAACTTCGGGGCCAATGTTTAACGTGAAATTCAACGATACAAATGTAAGCCGTCCGGTAACGAGATCTGTTAGGAATTATCAGGTAGCAGTGACTGTCAACCACAGCTGAATCGAAAGAACGCGTCGAACAAGTCACACGGAATCTCGCAACGCGCTTAACCGATACCGAGAAAATCGACAGTGAGGATCGTCGGTCGTCTGGCGTAACGTGGTTGAGAGTTACCGATAACTAGTTTCTAATACTCTACTTTCTTTTTTTTTTTTTTTTTTTTCGATTATTATCACTCGCGCCGCGCAGATTTCGGCTTAACAGCCTCAACGCATGGACTTATACCACAGAGTATTTCCAGTAACGAGTCCCCACTATCTCCCAGAGTGGTGTAATTTTACGCGTTGAGGCTGTCCGATCTCTGCGCGTGCGCACCGTCACATATAATACCCTCTGTATTTATCGACTAACCAAATCTAGCTACATAGTTTATAACGGTAAAGAGAAAATGATATGAATATAAATATATATATATATATTTATATATATATATATATATATATGTGTGTTACATTTACGTTACTTTACGCAGAAAAGTGTTGCGATATGAAGTGTTAACCCATGGAGATGAAAGGTCCGAGTGTCCTTCCAATAAGAAAGTACTTATCTATGAATAAAGCAGGGTGCAAGTTATACACCGAGTGAGGAAATATGTTTAGTTGAAGAGTGTGTCTGGTCGAATGAACCAATTTTCTGATGAAACATGAACGATACGGAGATTCCGATTTTGAAAATATCCAGAATTCTGTTCAAGTTAACCGGAAGTCTTGATAATTCGGATTGAATTCTGCTAACCTCGAGCGGAATTTTCGGCATCGTTCGTATCTCGCCAGAAAATTCTTTCGTTCGGCCACACATTTTTCTCCTCTTCGTGTAGGGAGAAATATTAGTAGTCGGGACCGCGATATATTCTGTACTGTATCTGCGTGCATCTTTATATTTGAGACTACGGCGAAGTCGCTGTGCTTGTCCTTTGTTCTTTTATGGGGGCTTCACTGTGAAAGAGCTCTTCGGACTTGATAAAAGCTCTTGGTAATGATCCTACACGAGGAAGACGACGAGAGGAAGGAGGAGGAAGAAGAAGAAGGAACGTAACGCGATTATACCACCTTCACTCCTCGTTTTATCAGTAGCTTTTATCAACGCAACGAATCTTCTCCCCGGTCCCGCTTGTACGTGTCTCGTCGTCGCATGCATCTGTATGTATCAGTGTAAATAAGCTTGTACAAACGACCGAGGGGAACGCTCAGGCAAGAAGAAAGAGATGCGAAAGAGAGAAAGCGCGTATCGACCAGATGGGTGAACATCGAATATCCGTGCGTCTCGCAAACGACGAACGAAGGAAGCGGTTGCTCCGTGAGATCGGATCGCCCCTCCCCCCTCCCCCTTCCTCCTCGTACAATTTATATAAATCTCAACGCGCGACAATTCGATCGAATGCGCACTATCGTTATCAATTATTGTCGACGAGTGTTGCGCGCACTGATAAGATACAGATCGCGGCAAACGCGAGCGAGCGCGCTTTTGCTCACACCTGCAAAATCCCGAAAAGCTTTCCGGGCTTCGAAGCTTCGCTCGCGTCGACTCGAACGACTGAGTGACAACTAGTCGACAATAACAAGTCAATGAGCGTTAATCTCTCTAATGACTCCGCGCGGATATATTCCTCTCTTCATTGGGTTTTCTATCGCGGATGAATGCGTTCTTTTTTGGTTTTTTCTTTTATTTGCTGCTACATTTGCGACTACAGTAATGACGTTGACGAACGCTCGCTACCCGAAAAAAACTCTCACCAGCAATCTGATATCGCGACATGTACATTTTTCTCTTGTGGGCGATTTGCAATGTGTGTACAACATATGCAAGCGTCGCGTGCCTCTCCTTTTGGTTTCTTTTCACACGGTCGATCGGAGCTTCAGCTCGATATCTCTGCGCGTTCCACACGAGCCGGGGATGCGAGATCCGTTCAGTATTGCATTACACTGTAATTTATGTACATCACGTATTAATAAATATACGCAGTTACAGATTGTACTTGTGCGAGGAGGCACCGTCTTCGTCGTCGTCGTCATCGTCGTCGTCGTCCCCTTCATTCTTCCCATCTCCTGTGGATCGTAATACGATAGCGTTAGATAGAATTACACCAACTGCAAAACGTTTCGTCGTGATTCTTTAAGCTAAGGCAGCCTGTCGTTTGGTGCGACACGAATGAAATAATCTACAACGCGTCCCAGCGAGCGCGCAGCATCCCACACCCGACAAACGTGGACGGATTTTCATTGATTATTGTGACCTCCGGTTGCTGTTAGTAGAATTAAGTCTGGGAACAAGTCTGTAGAATTATCCCGCAAGCACGATCGCGCTGGCGCTTGAACTATATACGCTTCCTGTGTGTGCTCGTCCAGTGTACCTAAGACTGTGTGCGTGTTCCGTGCGAAAGCTTCGGGGTAAGTTACAGCATTTCTCTCTCCACGTCTTCTTCTTCTTCGATATAGCTTCACAACTAGCTTCTCGACGACGCGCTCTTTCGAGTCGAATGCTCGCGCGGTGAATCTCCAATCTCGGGCTAAACCGATTTTCAAGGTGTGCTAATCGCGATGTCGTTTTGCAGATGAAGTCGTCGTGTACAACGAAACGGCAGCCGTTGTTAACGGCACCGTTTCCGCCGAGAGCGCCAACAGAAAGCTCAACACGTCGCAAAGTATCGTGGAGGTGCATCCGCCGCCTCGGAACATCACTCCGGATCTGATACCCGAAAAGCCGACTTCACCACTTCCGCCTCCGCCTCCGCCTACGCCTACGCTGCCACCCGCACCGATGTTACCTGTGCCAGCGTTGCCTGCCCCTCCTCCGGTGCCCCCGGCACTACTACCCGCACCTGCATCGGCGTCCGCCTCGGCGGCGGCACCGTCCTCGCCACCCCCGCCGCCCCCGCCACCCCCGTCGATCCCGTTGACCTCTGCGCCGCCGCGTCTGCAGACTCAGAAATCCACGGCGTCGATCAGCAGCTCCACAAGCAGCAAAGCAGACACCTCCAAAAGCAGTAAATCCTCCAGCGACAAATATTAGTTGTAACTCTAAGCATTAAAGCATCGAGCGTTAGTATGTTTTAGTATACTTTCTGCGATTCTTAATATTCCGCAGGCAGATCGAAGGTCTGCGTTGTGCAAGATTGAAAATCGTATGAGCAACTTTGATTGTGATCGCATGTTGAAGTGCGACGTCTGATGCTGCTGAGGCGCATATCAACGTATTTTACGCATGCGCATTACTTTCGACAGACGCCAGCAGCCGAGAGCAGATTCACGAGGAGCTCAAGTTCGTTCTGACGATGTTCCGGGAAAAGAAAGCGAACCCGCCTGCGAACACCGATACGCATCAGGAGGTCTGGTTGAATCAGCATTCGACTCCGCGCGACGTCCAAGCTTGGTTGGCAGCCAAAGGCTTCTCACAGAAGTACGTTACATTTATATCTCCGAGCGATGAAAATACGCTCTCCGTAGCTGAATGTCTTATTATGCACTTTCGTTCGCAGAATTTGCAAGCAGTTCGAAGGCATGAACGGCACCGAGCTGTTTAATTTAACAAGACGGCAATTGGAGCAATACTGCGGACCGTCTGAGGGAAGCAGGCTGAACGGTCAGTTGACTTTAGCGAAGAACGAAAGCGGGGTAAGTGCATTCCAATCTTAACATACGGCAGCTGCAGGCAAAACCGAGGCAGGTTGACACGCTTTTCAAAATTTCGCCGTTGGCATTTTTGTTAAGCTTATATTGGTATGTATGCTTAGAAACGATTGATTATCACACACAAGCTTGCACAAGATGGTTAAAAATGTGACAAACACTTTGCAAGATACAAATCTATTCGATCGTTTGGACGTGTGACTAACAAGTTTCTTCTCAGTGGGCGCATCTCTCACTTTCTGCAAGAAGCAGATATGATAAACATAAAATATATATGCATTGTAACTTGTTGATATAATTGAGCAAACAACCATATAAAAATAAACACTGTATCTTCGATCTCTCAGCACTTTCATCGTAAAAAAAAAAAAAAAATTACTCTTACACTTGTGCAAAACATATTATCCAGCTGTGCGGAAAGCTTCGTTCGTACCAGCTGATAACACGTAATTTGACACTGAAATTTGTACATTCACGGCGACAGAGAATGTTGAACTCAAAATGTCAAAACGTTGGGAAATCTGCTGTGTTGAACAGAGAAACATCACTTTTCTCCTTTGGTTCATAAATAACGAAACGCATAAGCCGTGCATCTGCCAATCACCCCTCATTCTTCGAATTTTCGCTTGCAGTATAAAACCGCACGGTCGTCGGAGCTCAAGCACATTCTGGAGAAAGCACGCCGACGAGCAGAGGAGTTAAATGACAAGGATGAAGTCAGACAGTGAGTCGCCTCACATTCGTTCGTCACATGCCACGTGCGAAGCTGGAATGCCAAATGTCGAGGCAGGAATAATGCGAGTTGTTTGATCAGGCGGTACGATCGCAATCGCGCAATGACCGTGAATTTAAGAGAACAAATGTCACGGAAGGTAAAATAAAATATCGAGACATAGAAAATTGCCGGATCGAGAAGTGCCGACGAATTATTTTACTTTACCTTGCATATTGCGACAATATCGTTCGCCGCGAATCGAAGCAATACGCATGCCAAAGAATTTTAGCAAGCCATATGAAGCATGCGCTGAGAATTACCTGTGATGTTTTCCCCTTTTTCTCTGTTCTTTTCGTTTGAAAAAATGCTAGCGGTATCGTCTATCTATCGTATTTTAACGAGCTTATACTCATAGGTATATCGTTCCCCGATACGCTGCTCGAATCGAGAGCTCAATTGAAGCATTTAATTTGATATGAATTGTACATATAGTATGTAACTACTCTAGAACCGCAAGCTCGACAGCAAGCATATGATATAACTTTAGAAATATTAGAAAAGTACGCGACACTCGCGCGATGTAGATTAAATTCGCTCATCGCGCAGAGGAAGAGTATGCTGATCGCTGATCGGACGGTATTGATATTAGAAATAGGTAATTAAGAAACATAAAAAAAAGTATGTAATCTACACGTGTATGACGTAACAATATCGAATCTATTTCCATCATGATCGCAAAAATAAATCGTCAATAATAGAGACGACTCGTCGTCTGATTTATTCGCCTCACAGATTCCTACGCTCTGGTCTGCGCGCAACGACAAGTCGCGGCGCAAGCACAGTCCGCCGAAAGCCCGAATCCGAAATCAAAGATCCATCTGCGCATCATCTGAGGATGATGTACGAAGAAAAGATCACGGATTGCGTTGTTGTATTTAGATGTCACGTTATATTTATTTAAAGCGATTACATCCAGTATAACAGACATAAATAGGGTACTCTAGCTGTGTGTCATCAATTGTATCAATAAACTATACATTCCTTCCGAATACTCGACACGAAGTCACATAACGTGAACACATTGATCAATCATAGTATGCTATTCGTCGTCGAGCCCTCGCGGCGCGTATATCATACCGCTCGGACGACGGCGACATCGCACACCGCGAGCACTCCCGACACGGTGATAACGCAAAAACAATTCTCACTACGCTGGCGTAAAGTGAACGGCCTATACGTAAAGTATAATAATATAACTCTCTGTGAGGTTTAATTGATAACAATGTTAAAATATTTATCATGCATGCGATACTTTGTGATTACTCGACGTGTGATAGTCGCGTTTTTGTATGCTGTGACTCTCGCGACCTCTCATTGCTCCCGCAACGCTTTGGATAAAGAAAAGGCCTATATTTGTGAATTTGTCTCGTGAGAAAAAGAAATCCGTAAATCCCCAGTCTCTCCCTCGAGTTAACGCGATTCTGGCCAATTAACGTAGAGAGATCCGCGCGAACTCGCGAAAGCTACGGCGCTCTTTCGAGGAAGATAAAGTAAGACAATCACACACACACACACATACATACGTCACGTATCCGATTATCGCTAGTCTCTAAAGAGATGCCTAGAAATGCTGCGGAATTCCGATAAAAAATCTACTAGAAAATTTTTGATCTTTCTAACGTCGCCTGGAAAAAGGTCTCCCGTCTCCCGCGGATCGGTGGATGATCGATCGACGTCGACTACGGAGAACCCTTGGTCTTTCGTCGTGGTTCGTTCACGCAAGCTCTCAGCCATACTCGCAGCTTTTTGCGCGCATGTACACACACACACACACACATACACGCACGCACGCATGTATGCACACATACACACAGAGTAATGATTACACAATTATTAATACGTGTTATGCGATGAGACGAGAGATTATACGATTACAATTTATTGATCGATCTTATCGTCGTATATTGCAGATGTGAAATTTAACGTCGGTGATGGTGCGGTGGTGCGATAGTTTCGGAGGCACACCGAGTGCGCGTCTCTATGTCGTCATGGATGGATGAGAGATGTCATCGAAGAGAGAGATTCGACTCTGACGAGAAGAAACATGAAGAGCAAGCTCGATATTTCACGGCTGTGTCAGAGAAGCGAAGAAAACTGACGTCACGGTTGATCTTCGCGGAGCCTCGCGAGATCGGAATGTCGGGCAATGTCGACCGCTGGAAATGACCGCTGGAAACGCGTGATTCCGCGTGTCCTAGGGCTGGTTGTTCCAACTTCTTGCTAAGTTAACTGATAGTTCAATCGTATGTTTATCTTCGTTTTTCCTCCAATTTCTAACCAAGACAGACATACGATTTAACCATCGGTTAATTTACCAAGGAGTTGGAACAACCTGCCCCTAGAAGAGAGAGCTCTTTGCATAGTCGGTGAACGTGAACGGTTCCTTAAAGAAAAAGCGCGACTTCCTACGTGCACGTGGTGTTGCGACGATACGTACGAAGGAGCGAACGTCGGCTCGTCGCTCGTCTAGTACAAATGTCGACGTTTCGTATAAAAAAATTTGTGCGTCGTGTTACATTGTCGTGCGCTCTCGGACGCTGTAAGCGGACGATCGATCGATCTTCAGCGTCGCTGCAAGCTTCCGCCGGCCGGACTTACGCTCTAGGTAACGCTGCTCTAAGTAACGGGAAATCCTTGACTCGGCTCGCGACCGTTTGTTTCCGTCGACTATCGACGCACGAATCATCGTGCGACGCGGCGTCGCGTCGGCCTGCGAATTGCTTCGAGGATTCGACGAGCGCGAGACTGGAGTCTCTCCTGCTTCACGGATAAAAGACGCGACCTATCTCTCTGCTCGGGACGCCGATGATTCGTCAGCAGAGCGTGAAGCCTCGATTACACTCTCCCGATGAAAGCAAAGCGCGCGCGCGCGAAATGTGAAAGCTCTGAGACAAACTAGTCAGGCGACGGTGGTCAACATGTAAATTAACGTAAACTAAGATCGCGTGTATATCGTTATATGTACACTTAACGTCCCTGATCACTTTCGTCCACCGAGATCTTCTCTTCCCCCGACCGTGACATAAAGAAGTAACACCAGCGTTTGCGCTTCCTTGTCAAAATCAATCAGGTGTGAGGCGAGTGAGAGAGCGGTGGATCGAGATGACGGGAGATGAGTAAGTACCACGGAGAGAGGATGTGTACACATGTATCCTCGTGGCCACACGGAGCGTGAAATGTATAATCAACCTAGTGAACCTAGTGAAGTCCTTGATCGATCGTGTCGTCATTTCCGCATTGCGCTGGAAGGTACCTCAGCCTTGGCTCGACAGGGAAAATATTGTATTGTCGCGGAAACCAAAAGTTCAAAATGGAATGAACTGGGACCCGATGGCTTCTTTCCTTTTCTTTTTGATTATACAAGCGTATATATATATATATAGTCATATATAAGTCATATGCGATACAGTGCAACTATCCCATATATAAATATATCTGTGTAACGCATTACGTCATAAATAAACACAACTTTCACATCGATGGCTCAATGCAAGTGTTGCAACTTGAGAGAGCACCAAGTTGTTGTTCGCTTCCCTTGAGCCGCAACTCTTTTATAATGCGAGTTCTCGTTAGCGTCGACAATAAACAAGCAACGGTCTTAATAATAATAATGATAATAATGATAAAATTGTGACTAACATATCACAATACTGCTTTTACCCGCAGAATAAAACACCTCCGCCTGATAATCGTCGTATATATATATATATATATAACTGCTTCTTTTTCAAATTATAAATGAATCGCGGTACGATAATGTGGGAAAAGAAAGAAAAAGTCGCATTTTTCACACTCGTCTGTTAAAATTCGTATAATAAATAACAAATGCTTTCAAGCTCTTGACCTTGGAACTTTCGTCATAATAATGATTACCGACCGTGCAAATTTCATTAAACAGATGATATAAAGATATCAGAAGCATAGAGAACAATCAACTCGTTAACAGAAAACGCGTCGAACTGTATACACTTCCGTTCTCACGTTCCCGGATTCCACAAACGTACACATATCATTGAATTGATGACATAACGCATAAATTATATACATATACATCTTTCCATATATAATATCCTGCCGTATAAGTGCAACAATAAATAAATAAAATCTCTCAAGGAAGTGCAGACAACGGGAACGATCTTTGAGAGTGTGGATCTATCGATGTAAACGCCTCGCTAACGACTCTGGGAACACCGATTTCCCGTAGAGTGTCGTGATCGAGGAAACGGACCAAGGTCAATGGTTCAAGCATACGCCAGTGATATATATATATATATTATATATACATATATATATATATATATATAAAGTGCAGCGATGAAGCGACAATAAAGCGAGAAAATGGTACGATTATATGAATGCATGAACGTACAACCTACTGGCCGGGGGCTTCCGCATCCTCCTTTGATGGAACAGACCTTGATCGATGGGAATACAGTTGTGAAAACGACTGAACTTAGCATTATGTAATATTTGGTGAGTAGCGAACCTGAAAGCGGGGGCCGTGATTGTCGAGAATGAATGAAGCGTGCGGTATGTGTGTATGTGTGTGTGTGTGTGTATGGATGATGGTAATGATGGTGGATAAGGGGAGTATGCGATACGAGGTGGAAGAGACATGAAGTTCCATTGATCTCTCGCATTAAGTGGCCTCTTTATACGCAAAGCAAATCCTGACTCGCTCTCTGTCATTTCTTATTTTGTAGTAAATTACCAAAAGCCTCCCGCACTGCGACCGCCCGGTGGATTATTCACGCGAATGCAAGCCCTTCGTGCTTCCTCGACATCCTCTGCAAGAATAAACGCCCTTATGATCGACCAAACACGAACGAGGTGAGCCAAATTTCGTTTCCATTGACGTATCAAGCTCTATGACGATTTGTGATCCCTTTTCTCAGAGTGTTAGTGCGAGTACAAACCACAAATGTCAAATCAAATGAACATCTCGAAATCTGAATGTGATGATGCGGTTCATTTACACTCTATTGATACTTTGATCGGTCGCTATTGTGACGACACACTCGACGTGCCGCCGAGCGTGCGGCCGCAATTAAGACCGACAGTATTCACTCATCCGAGCGATTCGAAAAGATGCCACGGGCGACGGGCGATAGCAATTCGTCCTGAGACTCACCGCTGATGGAGAAGGTAGAATCTTGCAGGTTCCGTTGCCCTTCCATTCTCGGACCCTTCGTGGATGGCGTCACCACAGCGGAATCCGGCAGAGTCGGCACGCAAATGACGGACTGCAGCTTCGGCTTTGGGCTGTCATAAGTACCGTTTGTCTGATTGGCCCGTGCTACAGCCCCGGCCGTCGCCCTCGCCTCTTCCTTGGCCTTCGCGATTGCGGCGTCCTCCTCGGCGTGTCTCTTCGCCTCCGCTTCCGTTCGTGCGACTCCACGTGGTCTCTGCTCGCAGGTAACAGGTCATTCGATGTGAATCGATACACCTCGTCAATTTGTATCGTTACCCGTTAACAGTTTCTTTTATTTGTCAAACATGATCTTTTTACGTGAGCGATGATGGATAGTTATTATATATTCTGGAATATTATAGTGTATACTATGATTATTATAAAATATACTTTTATAATATAATCATTATAAATATACTTATGGGGATTAAACATGACTCAAATGTACAAGCAAATAAAAGTGGAATCAGAAAAATCCACGATTCAGATTTTCCTTCAGCAAAATTATCCACGAGGAGCCAAGTTGAGCTCAATCCAAGAGGATGGACGACCAATGAGGATCTGTGTGCCGTACCTTCTCCTTTTCGTTTATCATGTCGTACACGTAGGCGCAGAACGGCTCCGTATTCACGTATCGCCCAAACCCGTGAACGGCTTTGAGCTCGCACTCGTCCACGCATACGCGCCCATTGACGATCACGTATTCGGGCACACCGGTCACTTCCATGCCCTGTGTCAACAACATGGCGCATTCCATAAGTGATGGAGTAATTAAGCAATGACCTATTCTGTAACTTCTTACAGTTCGTTATCGTTGCGTCATGCAAAAGTAAAAGTAACGTCGTTAAAAGTAACAGAACAAGTCCAAGGAGTGTAACAATCTCGCAACGAGCGTTACAACGCTCCCCCACGACCCCGTGGTACTCTCTCACGTCACACGAGACGAGTTCGTCCTTTATAAAACATGTTCTCGCGAGTTGCAGGAGCGCCGGCGGCGGGAGCGGGAACGATTCAATCAAACTCGCCTCGAAGATGTTGAAGTCAACAGCCTGCACGTGCGTCTCGGCGGAAATGGTGCGCTTCCTGTTGGGGTCCCACACGACAATGTCGGCGTCCGAGCCGACGGCTATGACGCCCTTCCTCGGATACAAGTTGAAGATCTTGGCGGCGTTCGTGCTGGTGACCGCGACGAATCGCTGAGGATCCATGATGCCGGCGTGCACGCCCTTCTCCCAGAGGACCGCCATCCTGTCCTCGACGCCGTTCACGCCATTGGGGATCTTCGTGAAGTCGTCTTTGCCCAGAGCCTTCTGCTCGGCGTTGAAGGTACAGTTGTCGCTGCCGATCACTTGGAGATTATCTCTGAAAAGTGGCCGCGTCAGTGCTGGGGATCCGAAGAGCAGCGCGAGGACGGCGGGAACGGGGGGCATGGGGCTTCGACGGGCAAACGAGGCGTTAGGTGGTCACCTTGACATCTTGAGTAGGCTTAAGGCTAAGGCCAATCGCGCCAGGTAAGCGGCATGTTGCGGTAGTAAAAACGCACGAGAACGACCATCAGAAGCTAGCAGACGGCTGTGTTGAACGCGACCGGTTTATCGTTTTCCGTTTTTCTCTTCTCTAGGTCTGTTTAATTAACATTTACGCGCCGTGGTCGCGCCGGGCGCAGCGACTTCCCACGCCGCGACTATTAAATAACAAGCGGAACGAATTACGCGCTCGTGTCATTCGCGTCGATCCGTCATTGTTACTTTATCGGACGTGTGTGGGATCTTCGTATGCGATCTACTTACTCGGCCAGACGCTCGGTTAAATACGCAGGTGTCGTCGGGTCGGGTCGCAAGGGCGGGTTAGTAATAAAACGCCTTGCTCTCTCCATGTCTTTGCCGTATTGCTCGCTACCGTCGGTACCGACGGCACTCGCCAGGGTCTCCCCGAAAAGGACGACACCCTCTGACCGCTTCGCCGACACGACGTCGGCGGCCGACTTGCTCGTGATCGCCGTTATGTACAGCGGACTATTCACCTAAACGCGATATTTTTATCCTCTCACTGAAATAACCGCTGTGGCTCTCTCTCTCTCTCTCTCTCTCTCTCTCTCTCTCTCTCTCACACACACACACACACACACACACACATTCACTCTATCTCTTTCTCTACCTTCCTCTATCATTTTATATGCTACAGATATATATATATAAAGCTAAGCTGTATAGTCACACGGCTGAGTAAAGAGAGAAGAGTTTGCGCCAAAAGTCGATTGAGAGTTCAAAGACCGATTAACATATATATCTTTTGGACATCTATAATAATTACATATCAAATTACTATTTATTTATATAAAAAAATTATTTGATCTTAGATTTTTTATTTGGTTTTTTAGACAATGCAGAGCCAAACGTAAATTTATTTTTCAGAGAGATTTTCTCCCCGACAATTGCGAGAGAAATAAAAAAGATTGAATTAAATTATGTATAATTGCATAGTTCAAATTTAAAAATATAATTATACATCAAAATTATACATCCAGTGCGTTATTCTCGATTGTTGGCATGGTGACGCACCGTGAAACTTTTTCTCAGCCGTGCGCTTGTCTGACTACTAAGGTAACGTTTTACAGATATATCTACTTGAAGCGCATTACGCTAATAAAAACGACGAAGATGATCGTGCGAAGGGCATCGTGCTAATCACGTAACAGCTGTACCTGGCAAAATCAAGAGAGCGAGGAGAGAATAAGGGCAAGCTAACGATAGTCGAGAGCATGCATACGAGAGAGATCGGGGATTTCGACGGAGCGGCTAAATATAAAGTTGAGCGGTAATAACGGATAACGGTAATTGCGCTTTATACAGTTCGCACATACGTCACGCAAGCTGGTCGCAGATAACGTGTAAACTTAAATTGCTATTGCCGCAATTGTGCAACCTATTTCCGCTAATCAGCTGTACAGAAAGTGAAGGGCGGAGCGGAGAGGAGGGGAGGGGAGAGGAAACGAAACGAAACGACACAGAATTCGGTACAATCGATAGCTCGCGCACGCGACCCGTTCGCGGAACCATTATTCGGTCGATCCGGCGAGCATAATTCACCGGTAAAATCGTGAGAGTCTCTATCGAGGTAGCTCCTCCGGCCAAGACTTCTCAGCTATCTCGCTCGGTCTCGGCGAATCTAACGTGCATTTTCCCCGCCGCTGTTATTTAAGAACAGACCGGTCGGCGCGTTACTCCTTTTAAGCGGAGACTCGGGCCGGTCGATCGGCATCGATTTCGAACGAAAGTGCCCTCCGACGACGTTCTTGCCGGCCAAGACTCCACACTTGGTGAAGGAGGTGAATGTCTCTCTCTCTCTCTCTCTCTCTCTCTCTCTCTCTCTCTCTCTCTAGCGTTCAGGAATGCCTGCGAGCGGACTCGCGTTTAAACAACCGCGACTAGCATGATCGGTTCGTCTCGGTGCTTCAACACGCTACCTAGCTTCAAGTTGTCGCAGAGGTAAACACGCGTTCGTAGAGCCTGCGATGACTCTATGAATGTGTGTCGAAATAATTCTCTCGTGTGTCACGCATTGCTCGAGTAGTTCACGCGATGACTCTCGCTCTCTGTCTCTCTGCAGCTTCGCAAATTGATACGACTCCAGCCCACTGTCCGATGTCAAAGTCACCCCGAATGACTTCTCGTTGGCAGCGACTCACTTGGCTAACAAGTTCACGAGTTCTCGCGGCGTGTCCGGATCCGGTCTGAGTGGTGGACTTATAACGTGGCCGGCGGCGTGTCTCCAGCACTTGTGCGAGTAGTGGGTGCCATCCGTGCCGATCGTGGCCGCCAAGGTCTCGCCGAAGACGCAAACGCCGCGTTTACGCGCGGCCTCCACCTCCGCGGCGGCGCTACGGCTCATCACATGCACTACGTACAGCGGGCAATTGACCTAAGCATGCGGAATTTCGAGCTGGTACAGCGACTATGGACAACGATGCCTCAGTTAGAAGGGCGAGCAAATGGGAGGGTATAACGTTGCGCAGGAGGTTTCGTCGGGGCGGTCGAGCAAAGCTCGGCTCGATTTTTCAACGATGTATGAATTTGACACGAGGGACAATAACAACGTAGACAAGGAGTCCACACATGGCGAACTGAACTTATCCACGAGGCTGTGTTCTATGTTTACCCTCGCGATTATTTTTATCTGATCAAGGGTCGGTTGTTCCAGCTTCTCGGTAAGTTAACTGATGGTTAAATCATACGTCTATCTTTGTCTGAATTGAAGGAAAAACAAAGATAAACTATATGATTTAACTATCCATCCTTTAACTTACCAAGGAGTTGGAACAACCGACCCCACGAGATCTAAAGTTTCGTCCCGCTAAATAAAATATCCTTGTTGCACGTTAATGAAGGAGTCGCGAAGACGTCGCGACTCCTTCATTATGATGATCGTTCGGTTGATTCACCGCGATCGACCCGAGCTTCCTGACCGACCCGCTGATTCAGGGGAGAGCAACGGTAGTAGAAGGCGAACGTCGGAGGAGCAGAGGAGAATCCGGCATGATGATAGTCAAAGTGTCATTAAGCGGCGTGATCGCGCTCGGCGACACCGATATCCTTCGATGCGGACGGAACTGTAGACAGGGGAGAGATTTCCGGGCATACCTTGGGCACTTGCCACGAAAAGCAGCGCGCGCTCGGCTTCGTCGGCCCGAATTCTAATCTACACTGAAGATGTACGATCATCCGTGAACTGAATACCGCCGCGGAGTAGCGTGCCAAGTGCACCCGTACAACACAGAACTTCGGAAACGTGTAGAGAACGTAAAAGGGCGGACTGCGGAGTGTGTGTGCTGGCGGAGCTAACGTATACATACATACATACATACATACATACATACATACATACATACATACATACATACATACATACATACATACATACATACATACACACACACACACACACACACACACACGCGTAGAGACAGACACAGAAGGATCAACGAAGCCAGCACACGAAACCGTCTGTAAAATATATAATTTGCCGACTACACCAAGCGGTACCAAGCGTCTCGCTCACCTGATTCGCTATGACGCACGCTCTATTCACAGCCTCTGCCTCGACCTCCTCGGGCCGTGACATCTCGTGGCCCTCCGGGCCGGTTACACCCGCGTCCAGCAGCTTCTTCGCATTCTGGAACAAATTTACAATGGCAGGCGGGAGAAAGAAAGGGAGAAAGAGAGAAAGAGAGAGAGACGCGAGATACGAGCTCTCGATGGTATCTCGCGTCTCCCATCAAAAACCTGCTCCAAGAGACGCGCACGTCGTGACGGCGGGGGAGGGGGGGAAGGTTTGCGCGCGAATGTGCCGATTCTCCGCCGCGTATGAGTCTCGTGATTATCAGCCACCATCGCTCTAATCGCAGATGCCGCGCGAACATGCCCGAGACAACGCAATTTTACTCATCGACCCGATGAGATCAGACGAGATGATCCCGTGCGACTTCCCACGCGCAACGCGCCTGTCTCAGGAGCGTCTCTTGCTTCTTTTTCAAACGTTTCCGAATATTTCTAACACGTACGTGTTGTGCGGCGGCTTCTCCCCCACACTGAGACCAAAATAATCAATGTCGTTCAAATATATTGAATTACATTTTTATAAATTATATTTCTCTTGGTGTCGACTTTTGGTATCTTCTTGTCGCTCTAAAATGATGACCAACGTTATACCCAACACCTACTACCAAAATGGTCCTCCCGACTATGATCTTTTCACTATGTGTCATTGTAGCTGCAAATATTTTGTCTCAGTGCACGGTAAAGCGTAAATTGCAAATTAAGAGAGAGAGAGAGAGAGAGAGAGAGAGAGAGAGAGAGAGAGAGAGAGAATAGACAAAAAGAAAAAAAAGAGTAATGATTACAAGCGGCAACTACCGGGACCTCTTTTCAATTCGCAGCTAATTGAGCCGCAATTTTGCTTATCGAGCCGTCAAGATCAGACGAGATCTCGTAAACGGGATCCCCGCCGCCACCGCCGGAGGGGTCTTCGGCGAAGCAAGGAGCGAAGACCCGCAATCGGAAGTGTCGCAAAGCGTGAAATTGCGCGAGCGTGCGCAAACGTGGAGACGATTATCAGCGCGCAGCGTCGCGTACCTCCGCGATGATGTCGCCGTTCTCCGCGTGCACCATGGCCAGGGCGCCGAGCTCCTTGCACGCCTTGAACGACTCGATCAGCTCCGGGTCCCTGAGCATGAGCATGTCAGCGTACGCCATGAACATCTTGAAGCTACCGACGCCGCAGCTCTTCGTCAACGTCGCCATGTCCTCCTTCACCTGCAACAGACAACAGCGGTAGTAAGTGACGATGAATAATGAATCCGGGGGACACACTTCCTCGGGAGACACGCGCGCCACGGCAAATAAGGAGTCGCCGTTGCGTTGCCCTCGGTCAGCGTGGCACGTGCGCTTTCCTCATCCGTCGCGTCGCTTGCTATTCCATCTGCGTGCGAGTCGGCAGTAGCTTACGAGCTGACCGCACGCGGAATCCGCCAATTTGCGGCTCACCTGCGTCCGGCGTTGCGACACAGCCGACATCGTCGTCGAATATCGCCGCTCGATAGATCGCGGAGTCGGACTCGTAAGAAAAGGAAAATGCAGCCAGTCGACGGAGCGAGCGTCGCTGCTAACAAGAGCTAAATCCGTTAGAGCTCGGTCGCTCACCGGAGCTGAGTTGAACCGAACGGATTCTCTCGCCGCCGGTAGCTGAGACTTTGGTCTCCCGAAAAGGTAACGCGTCGGTTCCGACCGGCTCCGGATATCAAGGACCGCTGATGAAGCACATCCGACGAGGAGTCGGTCGAGACTTGTTTTCTATCGGATAATGGCCGGAAGTTGCAAAAGCTGGAATTGGATTAATTTTATGTGCCTCGTGTGCACTGGCGGCGCAATTGCGCCGGTGAATTACGTAAATTGCCGTAATGCCAATTGACACTCGGTGTGAACACAACCGCGATGCATCGTCGCCGTCGTCGTGCGTTAAACGCGATCGGCAGTGTGCGAGAAAGGGGTCAGGTCTGATGGGTACTACATCGCATGTGAGCTTTCTTTTCTAGGAATGTCTCGTGTTACGGCAATTATCTCGCATGAGGCGAGTCCTCGTAGAGAAAGCCGCCGGCCCAGGAAGCGCGGCTGGAAAAACGGTGTGAGGCTCGAGCAGTAAGAAAATCCATCAGCCGCGATACCAGTCGATTGTCTCCGGCGAGAGTAAGGGTCGCGACACGCAGGAAAGCTCCGTGAGCGGCCGAGATACCGGCCGACCGACCGCAGGCGATTATCCTCCGGCCGTAAGGAGGACAACCGGCGGTGGCTGGTCAATTTGCTTACGGATGTCAAAGTTTTATCGTTTATTCGTTCCCCCGGCGGCCGGCCGCCGGCTTAATCGACCGTTGTCAATTAAGTCCACTTTGTTCCTTGCTTCAGTCTGATCGCTCGTTACGTGCCCCCGCGGCCTTTCACCGTCGCCGAAAGAGAGTCGCGGCGGATTTGAAGAGCCGCGGTGCCGATCGAGACTCACCTTCGGACTCCATGACGTGACGGCGACGTGCAACGCGTAATCGCAGCAGACCTTCTGATCGGCGTTCTCCCGGTACCTCTCGTACGCTTCCACGAGGCTCTCCTCCTTCAGCGGGACCACGAAGTCGATGATCATCGTGGTGCCGCCGGCGACCGCGGCTTTCGTCCCCTGGTAGAAATCGTCCACCGTCTTGGTATCCATAAACTCGAACTCGAAGTGGGTGTGCGGGTCTATGCCGCCGGGCATTACGTACTTGCCGCGCGCGTCGATGATCCTCGTGCCGCCCGGTATGATGAGGTTGCGCCCCATCTGCCTGCAGACAGGAAGCGGAACGAAAAAAATTGATGATTGAATGATGGGAATTGATGATTGAATGATGACACCACATCTCTCGAGACTCTTTTAATCGATAGCTTGAAAATTTGCGTACTTATTTGCAAAATGGTGAAGGACTTTTTTTTCTTCAGGATGACCTAATCTACAATTGACCTTTCTTCTCAGTTTGATCTGATTAATCTTTACAATGTTGTCGTTTACAAAAGATCCCGGACCACCCTGTACGTAAACGAAATTGACACGTTGGCCGCATTGCTCGAGCTCGGACTCTTATCGGCTGTGTATTTTAACGCCTCACGCCTTGTACTTGCAAAATCCCGCGAATGGGGATCTTCCGGGTCTCGACGAGAGGACTTCCCGCCGGGGTAGTCACGCTCGTGCTGATGACAGTCTCGTGCGAGGTGTCACGCACTTGAGACGCTTCGGTGATCACGTCGCGGTTGTTGACGGCTCGCCGGTTGCCATCGTCGTCGCCAGCCGGTTACAATCAGTCACGCTCGCTTGATAAATCAGCGCGTAGACGCGCGCTATCTATCCTGATTCATTGAGCGTCCACTGATAAAACCACGCCGGCACGAAGTGCGTCGTTTGCGCAATGCGCCCCGGCCGGGCTCGCGTGAGCTGTCGGGCGATTGGACGACTTGCAGATGACGAGGCGTTTTTCTTTCTTTCTTTTTTTTTTTAACACATATACAAGGTGTCCGGGATTTTTTGGAAAATTGTGAAAATTACATCAAACTGAGATGAAGAGTCACGTACCATGTTGCAAAAATAGCAATAGTTATTAAATTATTAATGATTGGATGACGACCACATCTGGAGACACTTTTGATCGATAACTCGAAAATTTGCGTACTTATTTGCAAAATGGTAAAGGACTCTTTTGTTCAGAATGGCCTAACCTACAATTACAACTGCGATTTTGGCAAAATGGTACTTGATTTTTCTTCTCAGCTTGATCCGATTAATCTTTACAATTTTGCAGTATCTCCAAAAAAATCCCGGACACCTTGTACATGGACGAAATTGGCCGCATTGTCACAGCCCAAGCTCGGACTCTTATCAGCTGTGTATTTAACCCCACAACGTGCAAACTCGGCCGGCGTTGCAATATCTCAGATTAACGTGATGCACGTACGTTGACTAGTAATTGCACCCAAGTTATTTATATACTATTATGCACGTTATTTATGTACTTGATAAGTATAGAGCCGCCGTCGGCTCGATGAGTGCATTGTTATAATTCATTTCTGTACGTGTTACATATTTCTTTGTTCTTTTTCCCTTATTTTTATCCCCCCCTCCCCCAATTAGTAATCGAGGAATCGTCCAAGATATTGCATCGATTAAGTCTAAGATGTTTTACCTTTGGCCTGACGCTTTCTCGTCCCTAAAAGCCGACTTATTACGCGCAGTTGCACTAAATTGATATCAGTGGACGAAAAGATTTCTTCGCCATTTTGTCGCTGAAAAGACCGCGCGTTAAGACGTTAATTTGTAATACACGGTCGGTGATGCTCGACGTACGAATTAACGAGACGCGACGCATATCGCAGCGCCGGTCACACGCTGGCGAGCACCGCGGCAGTCAACGTGTTGATGACATCATTATTAATGCAATTAGAATAATTATGTAATAAAGATGCTCCGCGGTGTGTCCAATGGGTCCCAGTCTGAGCCGCGATGACCGCGTGTCGCGTCGGGAAAGATCTCGCGCTCGTCACGGAGAGATCCGCCTCGCGATCGCTCCCTCCTCGCTCGTACCTGATGACGCCGTCCTCGATGTAAACGTCGTTATCGATGACTCCATCGTCGTTGACGACCTTGCCGTTCTTGATTAGCAGTCTGTTCTGCGCGCTCTGAAACAGAACACAAGGTTTGCGGTTGACTCGCCAGTTGAGAGATCGGCGGACCCGACGAGCGACGAATCGGCGACGGCGGCGGCGGTCGTCGATTGCGACGATTTCCCGCCGCTCTTTTTCATCGCCGACCTTTTCTCGCCCGGTCCTTGACGTTACGCGACGCGAGTGGTGGCCGACATCCGGCGTACGCGATTAATGTGCGCGCATCGCCGGCGGTTCACGCACTTCCGCTGACGCCACCCTGGATTTAGAGCACGCACGCGATGTGCGTGAGCCGATAAACAAGCCGGGCGATATCGATATTCCGCGCCCAAATCAGGCAACGCTTCGATGCTCTGCTGCGCTCACCAGCGAGCAATTCGCGAGGCGGCGTCTCGTCCTTCGACGCGTCGCGAAAGGGCTCGCGAGCGAACCGAAATCGGTCGCCACCGGAAAGAACCTTCGCAAAAAGTGCCCGTTTTTTAAATTAAATCTTATGCGAAATGATAGCTCATGATGAGACATTAATCACAAAAAAGTTTTACATTGAGCATACGATTTTGGTTTCAGAGATACAGAGGGTCCAAGTGGTCACTACCTCTGCTAAAGAAGTTTGATACTAATAACGCTTTATCGCACGAATTTTTGCGAAATTCTGTATCTATGGGTTCTTTGAGTTGCTTATTACGAATTTGATGTCAGATTTAAAGAATTCAAGATGACGGATGTAATATAGCGGACATAAATAGTGAAACAATTATTTACTTTTATTAGAACTGTTATGTTGTGGTATACTTTAAAATCGATAACTTCAGAACTGAATTTTTAGATAACTTTTATATTACTGGATATAATGATATGTAATTATAAAGAATTACGAAAACTGCAATGAAAAAGCTTCTAAATATAACAAATAAAACTATCATGTTGTCCTTTATGCGTCATGTAACGTATCAATTTGAATTTTATATTTTTTTTATGAAAAACAATAAAAAAAGCCTTTTTCCACTCAAAAATTGTCGTTGAAAAAATTACTTTCGAAAACCTAATAGAAAATTCGCAATCAGCTAGCCAAAAAAACCACAACGTAACAGTTCCAATAAAAGTAAATGATTGTTTCACTGTGTGTCCGCCACCTACTATCTTGAATTTTTTAAATCTGACATCAGATTCATAATCAGCAACTCAAAGAACTCATAAATACCGAATTTTGCAAAAATTCATACGATAAGGCGTTATTAGTATCATACTTTTTTTAGTAGGTAGTGACCACTTTGACCCTCTACATCTTTGAAACGAATCGTATGTTCAACGTAAAACTTTTCTGTAATTAATGTCTCATCATGAACTATCTTTCGGCATAAAATTCGATTCCAAAATCGAGGACCGAAAAACGGACAGAAAATCGACCCTTTTTGCGGAGGTTCTTTCAGCGTGAAATTATTTCAATCGAATCAGCAAATATTCGATTTGTAGCCAAGCTTCAAAGATTTCGAAACGTGAAAATTTTGAGTAAATTTGAGAAATTTGAGAGAGCATATAGGATGGTTCCCGGCTGAGAGACTATTTTTCGTGACTCTTGAAAGGAATCAATCAAGGCAAAATTGGATAATTAGGAAGGGTTAGTAAAACTTCTATCAATATCAATAATTATAATTCAGATTTCCCACTGCGGAAACCGTCGATGCTGTTAACGACGGCAGGCGGCTCCGTCTCGTGGACCGAAAATTCGGACGTCGAGGGGTCCGCGCGGAGCGAGAGAGGCCGACGAAGTCGACACGCGTTTCAATTCGATCGACGTCCGGTGTCGGTGAGCGACGTGGTGATGAGAAACAGAGATGCATGTACCAAGCGAGTCGACCATGTTTCATCCGAGTCGAACCGAACTCTTAATTAACAAGGTAATCAATAACGCGATCCGTAGGAGCCAGTGGCTGCGTGTCATTGCGAGTGATCCCAAAGTACGATAACATACGTGACGAGCATTTTTCCGAACTTGCAACGTACTCGGGTAAATTAACCTCCCACCTGAAAAAGATACTATTCTGAATTGTAATTATTAATATTAGAAAAATCCGCCAGCCTTTCCTAATTATCCAATTTTGCGTCGATCGATTCCTTTCAAGAGTCGCGAAATTTCAGCCGGGAATCAACGTTGAATCTTCTTTATTTTCTCTCTCAAATGTACCCAAAACTTTCACATTTCGAAATCTTTGAACAGTTTGGCCACGAATCGAGTCTTTGGTGGTTCGATTGAAATAATTCGTACATTTCTAGCGAGGGAAAGCAAAGAGAAGAACGAGCGCGACGCAATTTTCAGCCACGCTCCCGCTTCATCATCAACGCGATGCGGGTGCGCACTTGATGGCGTCTCTCTCCTGAAGGAACAAATGGCGCGAGGGAGAGCCTCGGTGATGCAGTGGTATGCAACGGCGACGTGGAACTTGTGTTACTTGCAGGTATAGCGGGTTCGCTACCTGCGCCACGCTATCTTGCGCGTCCCCTCAAAGGACTCTCGACGTTCGTCAGCCTCCCACGAGCGTGAAAAAACCAACCCTCCCGGAAGAACGAGGAAGACGGTGCCGGCGACGCCTGCGGGGCGAAGGGAACGACCCCCGCCGCGTTTGTGTGAAACACGCAATGTGAAGGACTTCGCTCTTTGCGTCTCATGGGCCCCAGCCACGCCGTCGTCGCAGTCGACTCCACCCCGTGACACCTCTTCGATCCACGCACGACCCTAAACCGCCCTTCGCCCCGAGGCCCCGCAGTCACCGAGCCTAATCGGCTCCTTCTTGTTTCCCCGCACCGAGACTCGGTGGATGCGATGTGCGTGAAGAAGCGCACCGAAACTCCATCATCTTCTCTTGCGTTCGCGATTCTTCCAGGATTTCGTATCTTCCCGAAAGATCTACAATTTAAAAAGTTGGATCTAGGGGAGGCAATATCAAGGTATCTCTCGTTTCTTTCCTCCACGAGGTGGTAGGGTTCTGTTGATCGGCACGGCGATCGTCGAGCGAGCGTGAATGAGGAGGCGATCGATGGAGAAAGCATCTGGATCGACGTGATGATCGGCAAGCCTTCTCACAGAAGCGGACATGGAAGACGAGATGGCGTGGGTGACTGCTCACAGTGGAGGACTGCTCACTTGGCGCGAGCAGAACGCGCGAGAAGTAACGGTCGGCCGACCTTCGATTTTTCCGTGTCGGTACCGGGAATGTCGCATCGAAACCCCGCAGATGTAATCTACGTGTGGGTGGAGACCTTGTCATCCTCGGCGCGTGGTTATTAGCAACCGACGCTGGGAACATGTGCGTTTCATGTGTTGGAGATCGCCGTTCACGCGAGTATTTTCGGCCGGGCACAGTCTTAAAATAAGCAGCGTGTGAAGTCCGTGTCCGTGTGTTTGTGTGTGTGTGTGTGTGTGTGCGCGCCCGCATGAGCGGTGCTCTCCGATTTTTTAAGTGAAATCGTCGCCAGAGAGTGCTTCGACATCAAGCGAGGATCCCATTAAGCACTCGGCGATCTTGCCGGAGGAATGTTATTTAAATATAAATCGACCTCGTATGCAAAGCGACGACGTACTGTTCACGCTTTCCAAGTGCTCAAGTGTCAATATATTTCGTCAAAAGTGAGCTCCAAACTCGTAAGAGTGATTCCATCCAAATTCACTAGTCGAATGGCGGCAACACGCTCGAATCGCCGGATGATCTTCAACACAGACGCAACATCGCACTTAATTATCTTTATGCAACACTTTATGCAATCTTTATGCACACTGATAAGCTTGCTTTTCTGCGAGCTGATGCTGAACTTTGCTCTTGCATTCTTCAAATAGAAGGTTAAAAGAGCGCAAAGGAACAAATCTAGCCATCTCTAATATAATCTATAATCTAATATATTTAGGTGTTATTAGGTTCTTTCGCGCTACATTGCGCTAGTTTTTCCCCCCTCCTCCTTCCACTGCGAGTTTCAACTGCGTGTTTGTTTCCTCTCAAGTCCCGAAAGTGCACGTTGGTTCTCCGGAAGAGGAGACAAAAAGCAGACCCGTCGTTTCACGACAAAGGCGAAAAGCGCGCGCGAGCCAGTGAGACGAAAAAGAGAACAGACCTGCTGCGTGGACGAGGGGGATCGTCGAGATTCGAAATTACGTCGAGATGATTTATCGCTTGAAAAGAAACGAATTTTCAGGCTGTCGCGCTGCGTGACGGACTGCGGCCGAGCAAATAAGGCGCGAAACGTTTCGCGAGCTGCGTCGGGGCCCAGACGTGCGGCCGGCGCTATACGCTCCTGGCTTAAAATCAATAGCCCCGGACGCTTCCTGCCGCCGTGCGGCTCGCAAATTCGCCGGCACGGAGGACGCGACGAGAGAGAGGTCGATTTTAAGCGAGAATCATTCGGCACGAGCGGGCCGCGATATCAGATCGCGATTCGGCGTGTCGGAACGTGCCAGTCTGCTCGCGAAAATGCTATGTGAGAATCAGGCCGCCGCGTGTAAGGTAAACGTATCCCGGTATCCGACCACTTGGAAAAAAAATATTTGCTATCTATTTTAATAATAATGAATGAAAGTAATAATTATTATAAAAAATAAAACTCCAATATCGCTGACGATTAGTTGGAAAAGAAAGTATACCCAACTGGACACTTTTGTATTAAGATACTTAAGGTTTGAGTCATCTTTGTCCCTACTTAAGGGAATCTTAAGTTTGCGAATAAATGCAAATATTTATTCAGCAAAACTATTCTTAATATTATATATTGTATTTTTTGTGACGCTTAAACGTCCGATTACCAGGACATTTACCTTACACCGCGGCGTTACTTTCGGTGCAAGGAGGGACTATGTAGTGGAGGTCTTCCAACGGCACCGCAGCGGAGTCTCCGTTACGTCTCGTTGCAATATTTATAGAGGGGAGAGACAACATCTCGCCGAAGAGACTCCCCTTATCGAAGAGAGTCAGCGAGAGACCGCGGCGAGAGCTTTCGCATCCGGGAAAGAGCGACTCTCCGGCTCTCCG